ATTCCAAACGATATGCTCCGAAAGTTTTCTCTCCTCGCGGTAGTTACTAACTTGTGTAGTCTATCTAAGGTTTGCATAAATAATTCTAGATTTTGTTGCTTGCCTCTTCTAATCCATCCTATATGGATGATGGACCATGTAATTGGGGAATAAAGCCTCCTTATTTTCCTCATTTCTGAGAAATATATTCGTGCATAGCTTTAGAGGAAACAGATCAGGATTTCCGGTGAGAAAAAAATTACATTTTTTTTTACTGTACAAGTGTAAAGGTAATGTATCCGGTTATCAAAAAGCTGTAACACACTCACACTTATGTACAAGATGGTGAAAAGCTGATCACCTTGTGTAAAAAATAAGAATGAACTCTAGCAAAGTTTGGGCTATCTTTATTCTGATGAACCAGAATAACCCTAATTGAAAATATTTTACAAAATGCATCAGTCGTGACGTTACTCATTTTGCGCTGTTTCTCGCTGCATATTCACAAACAAACAGAGTTGATAGCAACAGTAGCGCTGAGCCTTTAACAAATTCCCGAAGAAGGCTTTTTAAATTTCTGCCATTTCGGAACAGAGCGTATTTTGCAACTTTAAATTCACTGATAGATTGCATAAAAAATGCTATCTTCTGGCCGCTCAACTCAGTATCTATATCGTATTCAAATAAAAAACTTTCCCTTCCAGTACTACAAATGTGAGATGGAAATTAAAGCCGTTGCGTACAGTTTTCGTATGTGGTGGCTAGTACATAACAAAACAAAACACAATCCCGCTTTTGGTATGCTTCTGTAAGTTTTCCGATTAGTAAAATGAATGCTTCCTTCTTTTATGACATTTCAATACCAAATACAATTTTATAGCTGTTGGTCGAGAGGCTCGCGAAGATTGGTCTCGTGAAGACCCAGTGGTAAGGAGATTTCCCTTTTTATAAAGTGGACACGTCGCAAAGTAAATGGTCGCAGCTTAGATCTTAAGGGTGGTATCAGTAGTATATTGAACAAAATATGCACAGTCTAAAATACCTTAGCCATCCATATACTTCGTGCAGCAGCTTAACTCTCTTTAAGAAGAATCTTCATCTATTAGGGTGTGCCATAATTTTTTATCGTTCTTACTACAGCCGTCGTCTTTTTGTATTCTTTCTTCAATTGTTGTGTGTTGAGTGACCATTCGATAGGGCACAGCAATCTCTACAAGAGACTATCAAGAGTCTGCCTATATCGTATTCCACGTGAAGCGAGCTGAAACGATAGCAGTCAAAAACGAATTTTACTGTCAAAAATCGTATTTCCGTCCCAAAAAAATCTCAAAAAATCCTAATTTAAACTAGCATATGCTTGACACATCGATCATTCAACTATGCACTTTTCGTATTTTTTCCACGGCTGGAAACAAAGAAAAAATTGAATGGATTAAAATGGCAAACTCCGCTCCTAGACCCTTTGCTCCTCCCACGCGCGTAATCATATAGCTCATACATGCAGACGTGCATTCATATATTTGTACCTTTGGTGCCCCAGTTCTCGATAAACGCTGATATTTGAGGTGAAAACGGTAACAAATTATGGGACACCCTAATATGTTTTGCGGTCACATTCTGCTTGCTGATTTATGTTAGATAACTTAGTTGGCACGGATCTAACAATTTTTGCTTCACTATCGCACACATAGTCTTGATTGCCTGCTACAAATGAACAATTCATTAGTGACTGTGTTTGTTAACGTCGGCAGATTGCCGCGCGAAACAAAGTATGGTATAAATCATTCCACTATGACTTTTCAAGAATACTGTAGATAACTTGACACGCTGATGTATAGAACTAAAAGATGAAGCACGAATTTTCTACAATTTGATTCATATAAAGACCATTTGTTCCAGTTTAAAACTTCATGAAATTTTGTATAGATGAAATCCGTAGCAGGCTATTTTTTTTGAAATAACTAGAATCGTTTTCGAGTGTTAGCTGAGCTGACACAAGCCCTGGCTCGTATGCTGATCTGCGTATCAAAGGTTTCAAAAGGGTTCCAAACAGTTTCACACTACTTCCTGCTGACTTTCTCAAAACCCTCAAATCCAGTGGTAGCGGCAACTCCTCCAAGTGGCACCATTGTTCCCCAACAAATACCACTTTTCCTCTTTCTACTTGAACAACATGAGTAGAATCTAAAGTTTTACAAAAGAGGAGCTAGCAAAAGATTTGAAAAGTTAAGAGAACCTCATTTCCAAAATTCCGAATGCCATTTCGTGCAGAGCTTCAATCAGATTTAATCGACATAGCTCATTTCTCGTAAAAAGAACAAAAAATTGAGATTAGCCATACGTATCAATGTGCTTTGTCGAATCGGTTGATAAATATTCGTTTAGGTACTGTCTAACCAGTGCATGGGGTGCACCTTTTGGGACCACTTGCGTCACTAGAGACGAAGGGATTTTGTATGCTATTTTTCAAATGGAAGCGAGTGCTGGAAAAACGATACGCACACGACACATAGACCACCAATTATGCCCACGCTCCCCACAGTACCTCCAAACGAAATCGGTCTTTATGATACATATTGAGGTCTCACCTGTTCTGTATCCCATGACAAAGTAGCAGGGGACACCGAAAGCTACATACTTGTGCCGCAAAGTTCTCAGTTACCTTATAGCATGATGATACGGGCACATGAAATGCAGGAAATGACGCATATGCACAGCCATAAAGTAATAAGAACTCCTCTTATATGAAACTACAATATACAGCAGTTGTAAGAATGGAACGTACCCAAGATTGCGGGATTTGCGGAGTTGCTGGATTTAAATCTTCTTATAAAAAATTTACTTGAAATTTGCAAGAAGATTTGGCTTCAGCTTGATGAGATGAATGTTCTTATACAGATTACGTCCGTGATCGTAGTCAGGGAGAGATATGATGATATTTTGTTTATTTTTACGATGATGCTTTTTTGAAGATGTGTCTCATATGAAGCGCAAAAAACAGATTTCAATACATAATTTTAGTTATCGAAAACTATATCAAAATCGCGAAAACTTGAGCCGCTTCTATCCACCCTCACCATTAGTATTATCACTTTGTCATTTATCATTAATGGTGTTACTATGGGTCATCTTTAGTATATGGTAAGAAAAGTACCGTAGAACACGCTGTGCGAGTTTTTATCATTATATTTCTCATGACAAGTGATTCACAAGTTTTTTCGCCTTTTGCACATTAGGTGCAGTTGATAGATTCCTCGCTGCAGATACACATACTACTGTGCTTTTACCTAAGATCGATTTCTGCTTCTAATCGCTTCACGGTGAATCCTGGAAGCTGAGAGAGAAATGGTCAGAACTTAACTCAGCCATCATTACTCAACAATAAAGCGCTATGACCTTCTGTCTGTGTGTATATATCTGTCCGTCATGAAATTCGTTTAACGGGTTGCAGCAAACATCTCGAGCAGAATTTTGCACAACGCACATCACCAGCATTAGGTGTATCACCAACAGCACGGGATTCGCAGCGTGGAACCTTTGAAGTGCGCATCAAACGGAACGGGTCCAAGCGGCTTTTAGCAAGAAGTCAGTAAAAATTCCATTTTTCCCGAAAACGGCGCCGAAACGAAATGATCGCGTAGCTCGTCAATTTGTCATGGTTTTACTTAGAACATAGAAGACTTTTGCTCAGAGGTTTGGCTTACGATGGCTACCGTCCTCATAGCGACCTTCAATCCAAAATAAATTTAGAGATCAAATCAAATACAAATTTGTTAATCTGCGGGAGCGTTTTTTCTTTCAAAGTCGCCGGTCTTACATGTAGAAAGTATTGAACTGAGTAGTTGTTTACAAATCAATTGTGGTAATCAACATTGTGCTGTGTGTTTCTAAATATCATTATGCAAGCAAGAGAAAGTTATAGAAATTAGAATCAGCGAACCTCTGCGAAGCCGGGATGATGCACTAGTCCCAAATAAGCTGTGTTTTTACTGATTATATGTTCTTGCAATGGGTACCCAAATTCCGTTGGGGGGGGGGGCAAAATTTTTTTTATCTGATAGAGGTGCGTGGCGTTAGCCACGCGCTCCGAAAAAAATTTGGTATGCTTTCTAAAGCACCCAAAAAGTTTTTTATAGGGCTAAATGAATTTTAAAAAAAATTTTAAAACTATTTCAATCAATTATGTATTATTAAGTATAGTCACTTGCACCTTCCCCCTCGGTACGCCACTGGCTCCAGGGGATCGGAGACTCGGATATTTTCGAAAAATATCAAACTTGAGTTGACATAGGCAAAAATAAAGTGAATTTTTACTTACTGGAAAAACTGGCCTAACAGGAAAGATCGATTTATACTTAATAGTTGATACAATTGTAAGGTGCTTCCATCGCGGGCATAAGACAAACACAAAATACTTGAAATTGCTTCTCAAAAAGTTTTATCAAAGCGGTATATTACGAAGCTGCAATAAAATCATTGAGGCGCTATTAATGCAGCAAAATGACCCATATAACATGAACAAACTGCTGCTGTTCTTGAAATAACGGATCCTTCAAGTATTCATGTGGACAATGTTTCAAGGGGTTTAGTTTTTTGAACGCTTGTGCGGTACTCATCCTTGAAAACGTTAGGAACCAAAACTTCCCAACTCTGTAAATTATGACCTGGTTGACTTATTCCGGGAAATTAAGAATCAACTAATAAGTGCATAAGCAATATCTATCCAAGCTTGATTGCAGAACAGTTTGCAAGCGGCGGAGTGGCCATAAGTTATGAAACTGAGATGGATGTATCTTCTTGTTATCATTTGATCTATAAAAGATAGTAAGGGAGACGCTTTCATATGAGCAGTACAAATGAATGAATGACAAAAGCCTAGCGAACATGCGCTTGTCCTACATCTAATCGACAATAAGTCCGTAGCTCTGAGTTCTTACCCCTAACCTTATTAGCGTAATTATTACATGGCTCGTGGGCTTCAGTGTCACGTTTGAGTCTTCAAGCATAAAACAAAAATTCATTCAATCATATCTATCATCAACATCTACATTCTTCTTCAACTTCGGTTTGCCGCAATCACGATATCTGTCTCCCTAATATGGTAGAAGTGAGTACTAACGCCTTTCTTTTAGACAAAGGCAGTGTTCCGACAGATTTTGCATTTCCTTCTTTTTGCATGTTTTGGGCCTTTTCGACCAGTAGATCTTGAATTTGAGCTTTGAAACGGGTGGAAAGACCTTTAGGGCGTTTACTCAATTTCCAAAATTCAGCTCGGACGCGAATTTCAATGGAAAGTTGGGAGACCCGGGCACAAAAACCCTGCTGCCTGTAATTTTTGCTTTGGATAGCATGCACAATGTGGGAGAGCGTTCGTGTGGTCCCACACGTAACGGTAAACGAAGCCGTCCGAGCGCGCCGACTGGGGCTGCGCGCGCCAGGTCAAGGGCTACTTTCCCGGCCCAGGGGGAACATCAAGCCGGACTGCGCCTGGAGGACAGTAAGGAATGAACAGGAATCCCACCATAGCAATATATTTAGAGCGCGAGTCTGCCGGGACACTGCCTTTAAGGCACCAACCTTATCCATTTTATAACGTTGACGTTTCATTTTCAGCTGCTCGCCCACTTGAAATCGTACGACAGTCATCCCACCATTTTCATCTATGACAAGCGACGCTCCTGCAATCAAATGTTTGTAAATATCGGTTTTGGATGTAAGTAATCTATGGGTGAGTAGGAAAGAAACCCAGTACAGGAATCGTAGATGGATTTGACAATCATAGAAGTTGCGTTTATCGAATACTGAGAGTTACCACTTGACAATTTTTATGCTTTATTTCATGATAAAATAAGTCCTAAAAAAGGTGAGCGTCAAAAATGCACAATGGCAGCTATTAAGCAAGCTTTAGTGTTCTATCAGCTAACGCGTTGAACTGCTCGCATGGCGTTGCATCTCATGTGCAGTGGAGGGAATAAATCAAAGTGTTTTTTTTTCAAAAAAAGCATTAAGTAAGCATCTGTTTAGCTTAGCATCCTTACCCATATTTCCAATGCCTTTCTCCACCCGATAGCCTGCAGTAGAGAAAATCGTTAACAGATGCTTTCCTATCCTTTCGTAGCCTGTTATTGGCGGTTGATGGGCGCGAACAATGAGAGACAGCTTGAATGAGATTATTGAGGTTATACAGCAGAGAAATTAACCTACATTGTTTCTTTTCACAAATTTATTGATTTGAATTGGTCCAAATACATGACCCACCCCAACACCAGCAGGATCGCGGTAGAAATTCGGCTAAAGAGGTGAACGATAACCAAGTATCGGACTTCTCTCAAGAACTTACCCCAAACATCAATACGTCGACGTGCGGATCTGACCACAATATGTCAATGTGTGTGTCGTTCTTGTTTCCGGTAACAATCGGTTTCTGCATCGCAGCTATTTCGGCCACTGTATGGAGTTTTGGAGAAAGTCCTCCATGCATGCATATTATCTGCTCGCTTATTATGCAAGCAATGGGCATTGCACTGAAATGGCGATCTTAACAGTGTATCTACTTATTTTATGTAATCGAATTTTGATGCTTTTATAAGAAAATTATTCGCGCAATTGAGAAATATTCTGAAAATGGCAAAGCGTTGTCTAACTATTCAAGCCCAGGCATCCTATAGGGTTATTCATCGTATCAAAATGTCTTGAGTCATTTCACGGATACCAAGTCAATCTTAAAATTCCAATACCAGTTTCAGTCAGGTTTTTGACCCCAGTAGTTCCTTATTGGCAAGTTAAAATAGTACGTTTCTAAGCAAAAGCATGTTTTACATCTTGTATATAAAGCTGAATATCTGTCTGTATGTCTGTCTGTATGTCTGTACCAGTGGCGGTCCGGGAAATTTTTTTCGGGGGAAGGGCGCGACAAAAAATTTTTTCTAAAGAAGGTGCGTGGCGTCAGCCAACGCACTCCGGAAAATTTTTTGGGTTGCTTCTCAAAATTTTTGCGGGTCTCTGACCCCTAAAGTTTGAAAAAAGGGGGCGTGGCGTCAGCCACGCCCCCGAAAAAAATTTTTTTATGAGGCTAAAATGAATTTTTAAAATATTTTAAAAATTATTTTAATTATTTTCAAGTGCAAACAAGTCGTTTGCACATTTTTACAACCCGTATAGGTAAGTTTCAAAAATTTCGCGACATATACTTCAGGCCGGGGAGCGTGTCATAGGCTACTTTTCGTTATCGATCGATATCGATCTTATCGATTTTTTGCAAAATGAGCAACGGGGCTGGGAGTTGGCACAGGGGAGTAATCGAGCATGCTGATTACAAATATGTTATTAACAGGGCCGGGCGGACCCGGGTTTGCCAACTAGTAAAGAATATTATCGACTTATCCTGTGGAAATAAAAATAAACTTGAAAGTCTTTCTATCTTGAAACCTGGTCTCATTGCTTCCTCCTATCTGTTTAGGAGATAGCAAAAATGGACCAAGAATAGGAGAAGTTAGACGGTGGCTCTGCTTTCTATAAATATGAAGATGAATTTTGTCAACAAATTTTGGCACTAGCCCTTCAAGCGAATGGGAATGAAGGCAGGATTATCTGTATTCTGATTACGGTAGACTTTATTTGTAGTCTTCTTCGTATTACGAGCCGAATTGCTTAATCTTTTTTGTTGTGTTATAGAGCTCCAGCTCTACAAAATAATTTGTTTAAGTGCTCCCTTTGATCAAGTCGTTCCGAAAGTTTCCTTTTTCCTTTTTTCGACTCAACATAAAAACGTGAAAAAATGGAGGAATACCCTAAAAACTATTCGACGCAGTTTTTCTTCCTCTTTCCAGCATTCATGTTCTCAGATTAATTTTGCGATTACTAATCTAATTGCAGAAGTCTCAAACCCATGGGAAAAACGTGCCAAGTTTGGCAATTTTTCAATATTTATTTTGAAATTCTGCTTTAGAAAGGGTTTTGACAACAGCTGGATAAATAAACAAAATGCAACACCACAAAATTTTGGTATTATATACTGGCATCTACGGATTATCAAAATCATTTTTCTGTTGTTAACAAACCCTTAGTCAAGCCAACGCAGCACATTTACCGGCAAGAAAGTCGGGTGTTGTTCAATGCAGTTTTTTCTCCTCTTTCTTGAAAGCGTTCTTCTTTCCGTTTTTTGGAACTTTCGGGAATGAAATCGTCCTGATTGTAAGTTTTAAATGCGCTCACGGCTCCACTCGTATTTTAGAATTCGACATCTCGAGTTGGTTGATCATTTGCTTTGTGAATTTAGCTTTGAATAATAATAGAGATTTGAAAACCTAAATTCGAGTGATTTCCCATTAATGCGTTCGCGCATCACACCATTATAGAACATGATTTCAAAAAATGCCTTGAAAAAAATTGGAAAGCTAGCTGAGATGCAAAAAATCTGATGCGTTGCACTTTATTTACTCTATCCGCCTTTTCACAGTTCAAAAGTAAAAGCAGAAAATTTTGAGAATTTGGAGAAATTGGATGTAACAAAACATTGAATTGATTTTTTGGCTATTATCTTAATTACCCGAAGGCAAATGCTATGGAAACGTGGCTTTAAAGAGGAAGAAGAACTGTGCCCAACATTTTTGAAATTATTTGTCCAGCTTTATTCCATTTGGTTTTGTAATAGGTCGAAGAAATGGAAGGACTTTTGAAACAGCTCAATATTAGTCCGGTGCAAAAGTTCTTTCCGTTTTGGGACCAACTCTAAATCCCTTACGATAGAGGAACCAGTATATTAAAGGCACCGTCCACCCTAAGTTGATGGTCTTAAGCTTTTGGCAGCATATGATAGTACATTAATTTCATTAGTGCCCCCTATTAAGCCAATGCTTAGGTAGTGAAGCAAAATGTCGCTTAGGAAGTGAGACAAATCGCTCCGAAATAACGAAGCTGCACGATGACCGCCAGACGGCACAGCCCTCCCCATCAATGCTCCCCCCTCCCCCCCCCCCCCCCCTACCAGTGCGCGCCAAGCCAGTCACCGTTTATGAAAGCCGGCCTGCGGGTTCTCTTGAACGGGGATTGTTGGGATTTTCACGGGTTCACGACTTCATATTCGCAGTCAGCATGGGAAGGTCCCGGAACGATCAAAACATGGAAGTCGAAAATCTGAGGGGGCCTTTAAGAAGTATCCGATGCAAAATTTCTTTTCGGTGCGACTGTTTTGAGGAGAGCTGAAATAATTGCCGAATCTTGCAACCCCTCATTTTTACCATGTCTAACTTTCGCCAATCTTCAGCATTTTCATTTTGGATTTTTGGGGGTGCTCTAACAACAGTATAATAGTGCAAACCTTTTGCAAATTAATGCAAAATTTTGTATTTTCCCAGCTTCTTTTATAGAATTTTGCTGAATTATTTTACAATGGCCTTGATTTACAAAGAAATCGCATAACACATGAACACTGCAAAATCTTCAATATTTCAAAGCTTCAAAGCTTGCTTATTACTATCACAATTTCTACAATGTAAATGAGTGATTATCGCTTGAAGAGTTCATTCTGAAAACTCGGGTACTACCTTGCTCACCCGTAAAATTCGGAAATACTACCATTTCGTCCGCAAAATTCGCACGCTTTGCAACAAAGCGTAGCTGTTAGAAAGAGGAAAAAAAGATGCTTCGAATTTTTGAACTGTTCAACGTTTAATATTTTAGAAGGCTAGAATGAAAGAACATAAATTTTGCCACTTCAGAGGATTTGTTTTGATAATTCTGAAGGGCGTACCAAAGAAAGACAAAAATGTGTGCCAATTCGTAGAGGTTTTGCCCTATCAGATCGTTGTTAGAGCATCTTTAAAAGTCTAAAATGAAAATTGTGAAGTTCATCGAAAGCTAGACAACGTTAGGACGAAGTGTTGCAAGCTTTCGCAATCACAGCGCTCTTTGCAACAGTCGCATCAAAAACAAAGCTACAAGAACACGTAACTCGTAAAACCTGTGTTCTGTCCCGTTTTTTTTCGGCACTCTCCCCCGGACCTTATAAAAACGATATCCCCACTGCTTCTAACTTCAAAAACAAAGTCTAGTTAGACCATCTGTGCCGGGCCCTGACCATATGTCGCCGAAAGGGAGGTGATCCCCGATAAAGGCCGTACATCATTAGTACAGTATTCAGCTGTCCGGCGGGATGGAGCTCATCGGCAACTAACCCCCTATCCCGCTTCCAAATTGAGTTCCGCTCATATTTCAAACTTACCAAAACACTTTTCGAATTTTTCTGTACAGTGATCGAAACTCTCTTCTAGAAAACCGTGTGTGCACTTCGCTTTGGAAATTATAAGCCTGGACAAACATGCTTCCGCTTCTTTTTATTTCTTAAGCAAATTCTTACTTTGTTAACTGGTGCGTCTTCGTGATTACCACGAATAAGATAGACGGATTTTGGCATGACAATTTTCAACAATAATACGAACATCAAAACCTGGAAAAATTCTACTTCATAAAAGATTTTCAAATGTATATCATTTTTCTTGGAAATGCCTAAAAAATTAGCAAATGTAACAGCAGCAGAGAACAGGAGTTTGCTTCATATCTAAAATAATCTTTTACCTCTGTACTATGTCGCCCTCGATCAACGTAGTCTCCTAAGAAAAGGCAACGAGTTGTAGGGGGCCAGCCATTAGCGTGAAGCCATCTCCACACGTCGCTATATTGTCCGTGTATGTCTCCATAAATAGTTATCGGGACACTCAACTTAAATGCTGAGTTGTTTAGAGACACAGTGTTTCTTCAGGGTTACCTCAAGCAAAGTTGGCTCATCCATTAATATGTCGTAAGCCTTCTTGAGAATAGCATGCATAATGTCGACGTCCCAGTCAATCTCGCAAGGCCCAAGCCGAATGACCTAAAGCAGTGTGTAAAAAAATATTATATTCAAGCGTCTTATAGAAATTTTTGTGCAATCTGCCTTAGGGCCGCATGCACTAACATCCTCGCGGGGAGGGGATCGCAGCTTAAAAGAAAGCTTTTTATTTTGAAACTCCAGATAACTGGATTTCACGTTGTGTACCTATCCGTAAGTATTCCTACTACCCTTTACTATGAGCATGTTGAAGAGGAGCGAGAAGCTGTACGAACCGCATTTCTCTGTTTTTGTATGATCCCTGGTGATCCCCGGCGCTTTCTTCAAAGTCATTTCTTTTTTTCCGAAGTCAACGAAAACCTTCCAAAGTTGTACTGAACATCTAACACAACAATGCTAAGCATGTTGCTGATGAGAACAGATGAGTTTTTAAAAAGTCGACTTTTTCGGTAAACCTCAAATTTCGACCTGCGGATCATCGAAAATTTCATGACTTCGAAACATCATTTGTTCTTATCACGAACATGCTTGCCACTGTCGGGTTGGATAATCTGTACAACTTTGGAGGTTTTTCGTTAACTTCGGAGAAAGAAAAATGACTTTAAAGAAAAGCGCCGTAGATCATCAGGGATCATACAAAAGCTGGAAAATGCGATTCGAGCTTCTCGCTCCTGTTAAACATGTTCATAGTGAAGGGTAGTAGGAATACTTAAGGATAGACATAATGTGAAATCCAGGTATCTGGAGTTTCGAGATATAAAGCTTTCTTTTAAGCTGCGATCCCCTCCCCAGCGGGGAGGTTAGTGCATGCGGCCCTTAGTCTACAGTCTGCCCCAATCGGGATCAGGCCGAACCGCTGGCTGAAATTGCGCGCTCGCAACGCTAGGAGTCTGCGCTGCATACGCGCTGTCGCAGAGAGCGAAGAAATTGATGAGAGAGCAGACTGGCTAGCCGTAGACGTGACGCAATATCCTCGCGGCACGGGTTCCCGCCATGCCAATCTTGGCCTAGTTGGGATTGGGGCAGACTGTAACATTAAACTTGCAAATGCAGGTGGGAGGGGGGGGGGGGGGGAGGGGGAGACGGAGCGCTCTCATCATATGGGACGTTGCCCCATGTCAAGATTTTTTGATGGCTATGGCTAATGATGCATGCAAGCTAGAATCAAACACATTAGAGAATCCTTATTTATTAAATGGTCAGAACGACTTTTGGAAAATAAGCAGTTGGGATGATCCAAATGTGCCAGTTTAGCAATATAAGATCTGGATCCGACTTAACACCAATGTGTATTTGCATCTTTCAAACCCTAATTTAAAGGAAGCCTAATCCAGGCTTGACGGTGCAGTACTTCAAAAACTGGTTTTATTTTTTGATCTGTCAGTAAATTTTTTCAAGTTTTTTTTTGAAGTCTATCTTCCAGAATATCACCGATAGGGATTTCAAAAGGTTTAACCAAGGATTTGAGACCACACTTCAATGGAAAATGGTTATCATGATGCTTAAACTTTTCAGAAAATTGTAACGCTTCGCAAGCGAAATGGTCTTATGCTCTGACTATTGATCCCTTGGGCCCCGGACAGACTTCACGCGATTTAATCGTCGCGACTGAATCGCGACAAGACAACTGTTACAACATCATTCTATGCCAATCAACTTGCATTCGGTTGTGATACTTTTCCAGCCCGAAATTTTTGAATGTAAAATGGAAAGAATGGAATCACGGCGATTGAATCGCGACGATCAAATCGCGTGAAGTCTGTCCGGGGCCTTAAGGGAAGGGAGGGTTGAAACAATTACCGTGTACAGTATCTCCTCCATTGGTACAGAATCGCACATGTCGCTTATTTTCGCCTGATGTTTGGCTTCACGATAAGTTATGTGGTTATCAGTCGAGTAGGTCAGTACCTGAAAATAGTTGTTTTCGGCGACCTTGACCTTTTCTTCCTATCACAAGCTAGAACTATGTTGTCTTTTATTCGTTCAATCCGAATACACGTAGCTGCTGTGCGACACGGCTCTTCCAGCTGAGGGCCACGCCATGTTTTGAGAGTGAAGCTCAAAGCCCTGCGACGGAGCCAAGAATTTTCCCGGCTGGCGTCCGTTCAAGTGCAAAGCCTCATTATTTTGTTGCCCATTTTCTCAATTGTGTTTCCATGGACTGGTGGCCATTTTCAAAGTGCGATCATCTTTTTACAGACTTACAAGATGTGCGGATGCTTGTCCCCCTCTTCGACCAGAACAAAACATTATTGTTTGTTACAAGATTTTGTTATAAGTCTCTTTATCCTTGCGCATGCACTGCGGATCGAATGTGGTTTATGAAAAGTGATTTACAGGTTTCTACTAAGAAATTCATCACAGCGATTCCTCTCTAATATTGTGAGACGAAATTTGACGGTTACTAAAAATTAAACAATCAAATTCAAATAAATCTCTCTTTAAAATTGTCATCAAAATGCGTGGCGCTTTCGTAAAACCTCGTCCACCACATACTCTGATTTCTTATATTACAGCAAATCCACAAGGTTCCAAAAGTATGCATACACTGTTTGATTGTTGATATCTCTTTTTACAAGAGGTCTTTCGCCTATCTCTATACACCATTTTGTAGAGCTGGCTTCAACTTAGATTTACAGATGAGTCAAGTGTACGGCTTGGAGGAGGTGTCTGGTGGTCTAGATCGTTTGATTAAAGAGTGATTGACTCGCTTTCAGGCCCCTGAAGATGGCATTCAGCCGAAACGTCGGGCAGTAAATAAAGTGTTCCTTTAAAAACCTGTTACGGCTTAAAACAGTTGAACAATATCTTCAACATCTGTATTTTTGTAGATTTATTTAGCAAGTGCCTGATAAAAGAAGCCAAGAATTTCAAAATGCTTATTTTGCAAAAAGGCTGCCGAATATACCTTTATGGCACATTTCCAGATCCGCACATCGTTTACATATTTTTCTTGCAATAGAGTTAATTATATATTTTCCTGCAGAGGGCTTAGCATATAACAAAGGAAGGCTCTGCACTCAGTTTTATGGTGCATCGGATGATTTGCAGTTTTTTAGGTTATTGCCACTTTAACTTTTAACCATTTTCTTATAAGTGCTAGTGTTAGTGGAGCAGTATAATTTTTTGATGTGGGTAAAGCGCTGAGCCAAATGTGGGTAACTGCTCCAAATGCTAGAAATATTTCCATTTAGCAACAACACAAAAAGGAGAGATGCGCATAATTATCTGTTGTGCCACAAGTAATATAGCTCGAATACAGCTTGATGCTTGGCCGGCTTGCTGGAAATTGTTAAGTGCTCATTTCAAGACTTTCACAAATTTGAAACCCAGAGTTGTCTCCAGCTCATAAGGCCCCAGTTAAAACGTTAAGTTTACAGATTGAAAAGGAGTGAATGCGGTTTATTACAAGCTGTCACATAATCAGCTCAAAAGATAAATAATAATTAAACATAACCCTGAATTATTAAAGTCAGTAAATTCAAGTAAAATTGTAAGCGCAGACATACTGTGTAAGCGCTCTAAAGTTTACATAAATATGATGTGTTTTGCACAACTTGAAGACCTAAGGATCGTCAAGTAATAATCTGGTTACTTGCCCTGGGTCTACTAATGCTTTTGAAGCAGATTTCTGCCTTGGCCTGATTCATAATAGAATGACTTTTGCATACAAATCACTGCATCTCAAAATAAACTGTAACATACCGCGTCCATATACACTTCGTCTAATACGACTTGTGAAATTTCTTGATTGTCTTTGGCAATTCTTTCTATGACTTCTTTTACTTCAGCATCATTAAGTCTTGGCTGGATCAAAAATCGAGTCAAGTTCAGCTGAATCGCTATGTTCAGAAATTTGGGTTACATGAACATGGACAGTACATGTATTCTATCTTCAAATCTTGGATTCTTGTCTACAAATCGCGGACAGCCATAGTTAATAATTAAGGGAATTAACTGAAATTAGTTCGATGACACATACTCGGATTCTTTTTGCACCAACCAGTTTAGCGATTACGATTATAAGTATAAAAATATGAGCAATGTACTGGTCAACGTAGGTGGAGCCATTATTCAAATGAAAGAACGACACAGTGTTGCACTGGTGCTCTTCACAGCAGCTGGAAAATTTGATGAATTTATAACAGGGTTAGATTAATTAAAGAAATTTGTAAATTTTTATCTTAAGTTCACTGATTCATTGCTCTGCAGAAAGTCTAAATACCGCCACCCCCCCCCCTCTCCAGTTTGTGAGCCAAAAGCCGCGTGAACCCTTTCGATGCTCAATTTCTATAGAATCTGAGCGTCGGACCGGCTTATCCTTCGGCCAAATCTACATGCTGTACGTTATGCAAGATTGTGGCTCGAAACTTTGGCTGCAACGCGCGAGGAGTTGACTGCAACTCGCCCTGTAAATTTTGTGACAGACAGATATACGCACACACATACGCGCACAGACAAAAAGAAAAGACGGCTTTAGCGCTTTATTATAAGTCATGACCATGCTGGCCACAAAAAGCGAAGTATATGAAAAAATAATAAGATTGAGCGAATAAACTACGTTGTTCGGCAATGCACTATTATTGTTACTAGCGGTACTAAGATTGTTACCACCCTTCGTGGTGTTACTGCCAGGGCCCGGCACGCGTTGGTTTGAAGCGTTTCTGGAAACGAAGTCCCCCATGACTTTTCGAAAATTTACGAAGTCCCTCTCGTTGTAAAAATCAATAGGGAAATCCTTATTCAACCAAAATAACAACAAAAAAAGCGAAAAAAGCGCATTTTAAGTTATATAGTACCAGTTCAAAGCGCCGCTTCGCGGCGCTTTGAACTGGCTGTGCGTGTGGAGTGAGAAGTGTTCAAAGGCTAGAACTTGTGAAGTTTTGTCTTCAAATATTTTCGTAGCCAAAAGTATAGCATAAAAACTTTCAGGTACGTGTAGAGAGTAGTAGTAAGTTACTTTCTAGCTCTCTAGCTCTTCAACAACTCAAATAGCTCCACGCCACATGCTACCTTAGCTTCAATACAATCTTCTTAACTCGGATTAAGTGCCACTAAATGCTTGAATCCACTCCAGGGCTTTTATATCCGTGTCATAGTACCTTCCTCTCCCTCTCTTCCCCACCCCTACCCTCGTCCCACCCCCCCCCCCCCCCCTCCCCGGCCCCTCCCCAGCCCCCCGCACCCTACTGGTACAGAACACAAATCCCATGTAGCATAATGCCTTTCAGGCACGCAAAATTTTTATGTAGAAAGCACTGAAGAGTGGTAAGTTAGCCCCTAGCTCTTTAGCTCATAAGAAACTCCAACAGTCCTTAATTGACTTGAACTCAAATAGCTGCACGCCACATGCTGCGTTAGCTTCATCAAAATCCTCTCAATGCTAGAATTTTTCCGGAAGCGTGCCACTAACTTGCTTGACTCCACTCCAGGCTTTTTCTGTTCATGCCAAGTACATTCCTCCCTCCCTCCCCCTCCCCCTACCTCCCCTCTCCCCAGCTTCCCGCACCCTACTGGTACAGAACAACGTGAATATCACATTCATGTGTGCAATTTTCCTGCGTTTGAAGTTTTGAGCGGATTTTGCCTCTCTCTTTCCCTGCCCCCAGCCTCTTCCCCATTAGTTACCTACCTACGGAGAGTAGAGGGGGAAGATTACGAACGAAATAATTACCCTATTTTCAGGTGTATAAGCCGCACTTTTTCAAATTTTCGCCCGGGCTGCTCAGCCGCTTCATTGTGTTTCGAGAAGCGATCCTTATGCCGTACGACTCTTTCACTCAATACACACCACGGCGTAAGGTCTTTTGGTTGCGGGGTCCTTTGATGTATTCGGGCTGGTCGATTTGAGCTAGGACCACCCCGCGGCTTATACACCTGAAAATAGGGTAAACAGTTTCCAATAGAGTTTTCTAGAAGAAAAACTTATTATCTTCCAAAACTTTTTCTAAGTAGAAACTCTTTGAACATTTCTGCAATTATTGTCCTACTTTTCGGGTTCTCCTTCTGCTGACGCTGCCATCACAATGCGTAACCTCAAAGTTGCTTATCGAAAATATGCCTACGCTTTTCTCCAAAATTCAGCTTTTTATACAGTACCACACAGAATTTGCTGAGGTGCAGGCTATTCCACTCTACCAAAAGCTCCACCTGCGGTAGTTCCTTATGATGAGAGACCGCATTTCCCTCTTCTTCCCTCTCAAATCGCACCTACTGCTCAAACATACCAAGTTTTCGAACAAAGTTCGACTTCTACTATTGGGATTCTACGCTTAACCTCAAAGTCAATAAGTAAAATTCCATCCTACCTCGTCTCCTTTCCTCAGACTCTTTATGTAAGTGCTTACGATTCAACTTCCATTCACGAAACTTCATCTACCATATTTCAATTTTTCCCCATTTTCCTTCCTTGAAGGCCTTTCTAGCCTGTCACACTCCCTTTAGTTACAATGCGGCCAGAATCCCACTATTTTGCTCACACTATGAAATGTTAAACAAATACTAAAGATACGGCTGTTGGTGTATCAAAATCGAGAACTTTCATGAGGGAAAATCACATCTGGGATTTCTGCTGCACCACTTGCAACTTTGTAAAGCAAAGCTTTTGTACAATTAAGTTATAGAAATTAACAACTAAAATAAACTGATACCAAAGTTGACACATCCTAATGCGCTAGTTGAAATGAAGCGAGCGGTTACTTGGTGACAATAATGCTAATCGATAATACTGTTTATGGATTTGAGCACGAAAGGGCGTTCCGTCAACATCTCGGAAGGCAGACATCCTGGGTGCATTGGGTGCATTCGAGACATAGCGACAAACGCATGAGTCACATGGTCCCCCCTGCGCTTTATTATAGAGTATGATAACAAGAAAGCAAAAAGAATACATTTCGAGTAGATTAAAGACTCATTGGGTATAGCACCATTTTAGTGCTCGGAAATCGAAAACCTCCTAGGCCAACCAAATCTGTGGCCTTAACAACCCGGCGATGCATTTTTCGCCACATAGTTCAAAGGACACCGCGTGTGATTGGAGCGCAATATCTATCAACGCGCAGAACTGCACCACTTTTGGCTCAAAAGAAGAGAGGAGAGGCAATGGTTTGATTCGCTCTCTTCACTATATAATAGATTTTTGAGCGTTTTAATCGTCCAAATCAAAAAGGTTTAAAACTTATGTGAACTCTCTGAAATTTATGCTCCGAACCAACCCAGTTGGTTCGGTGGTTGGTCTAGAAACCAACAAATCTGGAACGGGTATTCAGACACATAAGTTTTGGGAACTTTTTACATAACATAGTTTGGAGTAATATTGTAGACTCATAGCCCAAATTCGGGGCCATGTGATTGTTTGTGAGCTTAAACAAGCCATTTGTTTGTTTGAGTCTTGTATTTGAAATTCGCGCGCTTGCGAAAGAACACGTTCAACTCGTAAAACCTGACATGTTCATCGTGTTTTTTTTTGGCGCTTCCTCCAGGACCTCATAAAAACGATGTCCCCGTTGCTTCTAACTTTAAGAACGAAGTCCAGTTTGACCCCAAACCATCGGTGCCGGACCCTGGTTACTGCCCACCGTTGCCCAGTGTCGTTATTCACTGCAAGCATTCCTACTAGTGTTCAGCCTTGGTTTAACAGCCCTGCAGTTTTATACTTCGGTTTCAATCCCGTCGTTGACACTTATTTTGTCTTATTTTGTTTCATTATCCCATCGCTGACCTTTACACTACATTTCCGATTAAAAAATGTAATTGTCAGCATGGACTTCAAATACTAAATGAGAATGCCGAGCCGTATATTCATTTACCCTAATTTTACGCGTATAAGACGCACCTTCTTTGGTTTTTCAAGTGTGCTGCTCAGGCGCCTCGTTGTGTTACAAAAAACGAGACTTATGCCGCACGATACTCTCAAGCAGTAGGCAGCACCGTAAATAGTATTTGGTCGCGAAGTCTTCCGGTGTGTGTGCTGTTCGATTTCAGAAAAAAATTCCCCGCGTCCTATACGCGTGAAATTAGGGTAAAAGTGATAACGTTGACAGCGACAGGAGTACTTGCAATAAACCCAATAAACAGCGGCAACGCTTATAGCAACAGTAACAGCGATAAAGAACGTGATGACCCGGTAACATTACGACAGTAAAATGTGGCCAAAATCTTTGGCTTTTTTTAAATTTGTTAGTCTTCAGGGATATTACCCATGAATAGATATAAATAAGTTATATTGGTTCAACAATCAACTGTCGTATTCAAAGGAAATGAGTAACACGAGTGAATTGCGGGAGATTTGCATTTGCAAATTGATGAAGTATGCAGTATTTTTTACAGCAATCATTTTAATGATAACGCGACTGTCTATGTTTTTGTGCATGTTTGATACGTGTATATCAGTCTGTCAGGAAATTTATAAACCGACGCCAATGTCCTAGCCACACGTTTGCATAACACGCGGTATCGTGCACTTTCGTCATACTGACGAGCCTGCCCGAGTCCTTCCCGCGTGAAACGCTCAGATAATATGGAGAGCACCCACCGACCACCCATGGGCGACGCCAAGCCTAGGCCCCGTGCGCCGATCAGTATAGGGCATTCGAAAAATCGTGACGATGGCACAACCGCGCGGACTTCCAGTTACAGCATTTCCTTGGTTTCTGTCTTTACTCGAATAATTTTCCCGCTTACATATGGAAGTATTCAGACACTAAGTGGCTGAGATAAGCATTGAGGTAATGCCCTTTTGTATCGGGTGTTTTATGCTCCTCTGTGCGCAAAAACTGCAGTCAAAACCGTCGTCACAATTTTGAGATTGACCTATACCTCATAAATGCCCGACAATGCTAGCAAGTGACCCGATATGCGTCCGAGCAACAAATGCTGATGGCCCGGAATCCGATAGATGCGCCATATGCACAAGGGTGGCTCAATACGTGAAAAGTGAAGTAATTAAGTTTATGTGTTTTGATCCAGGATTTTCATAACGAATAAGTCTATGTTTTTTGGCACGGCATAAAGGCCGCGATACAAAAATTCGTCTTGAAAAATAGGTTTGTGGCAGATATTCCGACAACCCAAGATTTGTTGGTCTCAAGATCAAGTAATCCAACTGGTCATCGCTACTTCTGAAAATCAGAAGCTGACTTTGCTACAGGAAACGAGATACGATGATGAACAAGTCAAGCGTGAGGGTAATTTTGTTACGGTACCCGTTAAGGCCCTTTGCTTCGCCGAAAGTAGATATGGGCGGTGTCTGGTAAGGGTAAGCTTGGCCAGTTTTAGATCTCAGACATTGCGACCACTCGCAAAAGGGCGCCGGCCTACGTTTCATCAATGCCGCGGGTGGTAAGGCTCTCGCCAGAGTGCCGAAGTTATGCCAACGCTACGCCAGCATTTCTATCGATACACGTGTATTTCGTTGGGGACATCTACCTGCTGAGCCAGCCCCGCCCCAACGAAATACACGTGTATCGATCGAAATGCTGGCGTAGCGCTGGCATAACTTCGGCACTCTGGCAGGAGCCTAAGTAACGCACGTCAAACTCCCGAAATTTACCCGCGGATGCGCCTATAAATGCCCTAACACCCGCGGATGTCCCGGCGACCACCCGGTAAATACGCGATATGCTTCAAGCACACCCTTGCAGGGTCGACAACCCATCTGGTTCAGCAACTCGAACGGTAGTCACTATTCGCAGACCACCCCATTGCGATTGATAGGCTAAGACGAGGTAAAAAGGCCAAAGCGTTTGAAGTACCTCAACCACGGCCGCGTATCTCATACGAGCGACTTTTTTGCCTTCAGCATGTAAAATTGTAGAATTTTGGGGTACAGCAAGCCCCGGGTCTCGCCAGACTGATACTTGGCCCGTTGCCTAGAAGGGACGGGGTCTGCCCGAAAATGATGTGCACGGCGGCCATTAAGGTTGGCGACTTTAATGGATAGGAATAGAAGGTGTCCGACAAGGGCCGAAGCTTTCCCGATGCAGATACTCTGTTGAGATGCGGGCCCCGCCCGAAATCCAAATATACAATGTATTCGGAAGGCCCGAAGTTTTTTTTTGGATCGTGGGTGTCCCGGTAAAACACTTAGAGCCCGCGGCTTTTGCTAGCGAACGTTGGGACGTGAATGGCCAAGCAAATAGATCTAAAGCTACGGGTGGTTGGTCCAAGAATTTAGCGCCTGCACACCGCCAAAAACCACGTTAGGAGTCGCGAGTGCTTGCCATAATCTGAGGTGCAAGGTAAGTTTTCGCGCTACACTGCAGTAAATTTTCAGAATATTTGTCCGCGCTTCTCAAAATAGGATCCATCCAGCGGCCTTTCCCTCGCCTAACATTTGGCCACGGGTCGCCAAGTGAATGAATCTAGGGCCTCGGATGGTCAGAGTCTAAGAATTCAATGTCCGCGCACCGCCAAAAGTTGGTACTAGGCACACGGGCGCTCGCAATATTTGTCTGAACATGTCCACCCCTGGAGAGACTGATGCGCATTTGACCTTTTTCAAAATGATGAAGTTGTTTGAAAAGCAAATCTGCAAGCGATTGTATTAGTCTAAGGCAAGGGACATACCTCACGCAATTTCAGTCGCCATGCGATCTGGCAATTTGGCATATGTCTTCAAATTCAATACTGGAAGACCTCAAATGCACAGCGTGTATAAGTTTCGTAGGCTGATAAAATGCTCCCTCTTCCATACATCAAAAACCTCGTGGACGAGTTATGAACATTTGGAGTATTGCCAAATCGCGTGGCGACTGAAATCGCGTGAGGTGTGTCCGAGGCCTAAGAGGTGGTCGAAAAGTCCATTTTATTGCGAAAAGGCGCCAGTAAGTAATGGTTTGAGTCCCCGACTTTTAGCACAGTAAACTAAAACGGTGTTGTCTACCTTATCACGTGTACATCATGTGGAGACACGTATATTGGCGAGACGGGTCGCCCCCTATGCACGCGCATCAAAGAACACTTAGATGGTCTCAGCAAGGGCAACGTAGCTACTCCGTTAGGCATGCATCGCAGGCTCAGCCATGACGACGCGGAGGTGGCGGTGCAGGTTCGAATCCTGGCGCGTGAACTCGAAATCCTAGCGCGCAAGACACTCGAAGCGTTTTGGATAGCCGCTAAAAATCCAAAAATCAACCCGAAGGACGAGTGCCTAGCCATCACTAACGAGCTGTCGCCATATCAGAGCCTCTGTGGCTTTTGAATAATGGGGTCAGGTCAGAACCGGGTCACTAGTTAACTATAAAAGTAAAGCAGTACAGCTTTTTGACATAGTGGTCTGCACCCACTAAATTTTCATCTGCTAAGGTGAGCACTAGCTTAATCTTAGTTTTGGTTGAGGCTGTTGTTTTTCTTAAAGGGTTGGGCTCTTTTCTGTAGTCGATGAGGTGTTTGATCGGATAGTTTACTTATGTGTCTTCGACTTTTTCAGACTCTGAAGAAGGCGAGTTCGCCGAAACGTTAATCTGTTATTCTGTGCGATAAAGTTCTGTACTAATCTTGGATTACGCTCAAGCAAATAACGAGAAGATTGTAAACTAAAACGATTTTTGCTCTGACGTTTAGCTTACGATCATTGTCGTTTCAAAGGCGAGATAAAGCAATAAACCCAGTGACTGATCCAAACTTGCACTTGTTTTATTGCAAACAGTTTTGGTAACGAAGCTACAGATCTTACGTAGAAAGCGTTTTGAATGAGTAGTTGTTTACAGTTCATTTTTGCGAGGAGTGTTGTTAAGACATTATGCTAGCACGAGGAAGGCATGTAGATTTTAAAAATTTGCGAACTTGTGCTAAGCAGAGCTGCCGCAATGGTCGGAGGAAACGCTCAAAAGTTAGGGCACTTGAGGCTGTAAAGTGGGAAATGATTCGAATTCTGACTGGATCACAGCACATGATTCAGCGTAAATACCGAGACTAAGTAACCAAATCTAAACTCAAAACTTTATCTAGCAGATTTGCACTGGCTTGCATGGTTCTGCACGAGGACCCACCATGAGGATGTTTAACGGAATCTTTGAAGACCAATACAGAGTAGATAGCTAGCATACCCAGGCCTAAAGTTTTAAGGTCAGGACTCACCAGTATGGCGCTCCTGCCGCGTCATCATGACATCCTTTAGAAGGGCATTTAAACTGGCCAAAGACCACTTGACTTCCAAAGACAGCCACCACGCACATAAGATGCTCTTTTCTCTCCTACAGAACATCTTTCATAGATAGCCTTACACTATTAAATTCCAACCTGTATGGTGACCCTGCCTCCCACCGTTCCGTTAAAGCACATTTTACCTAAATAGAGCTTCTTCTACGCAGTTATCGCATGTACGTACGTGGACTAAGTGTGACACACCATATGCTTCCATCAAAATGAAAGCCCATGTTAACCGCACATTATATGCCATAGCACCGAAGTGCGAAAAGTACTATGAAAAATTAATGCACACCGAAGGAGTGCTCTCTATTACACCTTATCGCGAATTTCCTTGATAATTCATAACAGCCTATGATTCGCAATGTGAAACTTGTAAAATCGGTAAAGGAATCAAGCGTTCATTCAATTCTATTCAACGACTCGCTACTTTTTGAGCAAGTGTAACAGATTAAATCATAGAAGGACACATGCTGATTTGCACCGCATGCACCAGGACCACATGCACTGAAACACATGGGGTCTACAAGCTCAGTCGAAAAAATGTATGACTTACGCATCCTTTGAACTATTTTTTTGTATCAAGCTTTCCTTTAGTTTAGATTTTTTTCCAAGCATATCGAAGATTCTATAATTTATTATCGCGTAAACCATATGCTAAAGCAAACATAAAACGTAAAACGCACGCGAAAGTAGTCTTTATTTTCATTCTGATGTATTTTGAAGGCTTTCGCAAATGACATTGGCTTGGCACATGGAATCTGATTAAAAGCGTGATGAAGTTGGGCTTGCAATTGCATCGAGCTTGAAGGAAAGTACAACTGAGTGCTTCACATATCATAGGGGAGATATTCCCAACAAACAGATCAAGCGTATAGTTAATATCAAGTTGTAAGACTAATGCACGTTTTCCCTTTTCTTAAATGTTAGTCTCAAAAAAGATACTTTGATAAAAGGCTTCGCCACGAGGTGTGCAAATTGTCTGGAAACTGTTTTGAGTAGAAAAAGCACACGGGATATAGTTTTTGCGGAGCCCGTAGCTGAGTCGCAGGAAAAATTTATAGTTGAAATGGCAAATAATTTAGTTTCTTCTCCTCAGATTGCGCTTTCTCGAGTCAATTCGCGCCGATTGCCGCACACGCGACATCGCTTACCCGATGCAAGTTAGAACAGCATACATGACTACAGTCTGCCCCAATTCTAATTCAGGCGAAAATTGGCATGGTGGGAGTTCGCGTCGCTAGGGTATTGCATCAAGCCTACGGCCTGCTTGTCTGCTCTCTGTACAATTTCTTGGCTCTCTCTGACAGTACGCATATGCAGCGCAAACCCCTAGCGCTGCGAGCGCGCAATCACCCCAACGTTTCGGTCTAATCCCTTGAAACAGAGTGTACTTTTCAATGTATGCCTAACGGTATGGCACCAAACTGCGTAAATGAGCGAACATAGGCTAATGGTGACAAGGTATGAATATTATGAAAACTTAAGTGATTGGGTGGTGTACTAATCTTGTTCTTCAAGATTTCTCATAATTGGCTACTGGAATTGCAATTAAAATGGATTGTTTGCAAAGCACAGGCTACGTTATGGTAAAAACTTGGTACATACGCTATACTTGGGACCGAATCGAATGATTATTCGATCATTCGAATAAATCATTCGAATACGAATGATTCGCAAAGTCGAATATTCGATAATCTCAGTTTTTAAAAATTATTCAAAAATCAAACATTCGAAAATCTCAGTTTTGAATATTATTCGAAAGTCGAATATTCGATGGTCATCAATTCGAATATTCGTTGGTCATCGAATGTTCAGAGCATTCGATAAACATCGAATATTCGAATATTCGACGACTATCAAGTGATTGAACTTCAGAAAAGCAGAGCATGTCATTGTAAGGTTTCCATCAAGCTACAGCTCTTAAGGGAGAGTGTGTACGTTTTCGGTCGGCGCGGTAGTATGTACAGTAGTCGTGACGCGCCATTTCCCGTGTTGCAGTATGTAACTGCTATCGATTTTTCGTTAGCCAGGGGTGCCAGGGTAATATCTTCAACCGCTTCTCTAACACTAGTCTTTCTGGTCATTTTCTAGATTTCTAGTCTTTTAGTCTATGTCGAGGACAGGCCCGCTGTTTCTCATAAATGGCTCAGCAAGCGCCCGCGTCCGCGTCGTAGTGCGTCCACATGTTGAGTCGCGCTCCAGCGTTTAGGTAGGTCTCAAAGGTGTAAGAATACATGAGATGGTAACTTCCATGATATTCAGGTTCTACTAACGGTCTAGAATTACCTAACGCGGTAACATGCCTGCCTGAAAAGGAGTGGTAGCTCCAAGGCTGACTGAACCTCGAGTACTACACATGTTATACTGGGAAATATGTTATATTGGGGTAATCATAATCAACGGGCATCTAAACAAGCTGTGGCTGAGTTGGATGCATTACAGTATGAAATTTTAAATCTTATCGCCCACATAAGGTTTGCTTGGAGCAATCATGCCACAAAAGGCAGACTTAACAGCTCAACACAAGCTTCTACTTCCGCATAGCTTCGGAGCACAAATGATGATAGCAGAACGCAACAGACGATGTAAGTCCAATGGAGCCGAAAATCCTCAAACCATATTCTACGGGCGCTATAAAAAGTAACCCTGAAGAATTGGTGAATGCAATACTGCTGTTTATTATTCGGCCAGTGCCTCCCCGTTTGGCGACATGCAAGGTCATTTACAGTAGCATGAGTTGGTATCATGAGTAGCGCCAGAAACTTATTTCTTTACCGAGTACGTGAACAAATCCTCAAATCTCAATGTCCAACTCTGATGCCGCATCCCTTTAGCGAACAAAGAAAATATAGATTTAAACAACATTTTTTACCTCTATCTGAGCTATATACCCTTATAGTTCTGGTATAAGGCCTAAGGCATACCTCACGCGATTCAGCCGAATCGCCATTTTTACGCGATCTGGCGATGTGCCAGATTTCTACAAATTTATCGTGCGCGCTTCTCGGACGCATATTTGGTAGCTGGTATTTGGTAGCTTGTGTAAGTTGTTGCAAACGGGCAAGTTCTGACCGAGACAGCGCATTAACGACGAATTACGAAGAGTCGCTGTTGTGCCGAATCGCGCGAGGTATGCCTTAGGCCATAAGGGGTATAGAGTTCCAAACGCTCTGCGCAGGAAAAGTTTTTTTTTATCAACCTACTTGTAGTAGTTTCCATTTTTTTCTCTTGTAATTATTCTGAATTATGAAAGATAAAGCTTTCGGTCTCACTGGACATGCACTGAACCATACTCGTAGAACACCGTTACTTGACGTGCCTGTTCTCAATCGGTTAATTGATCCATTGTGTGGGGGGATGGTAAACGTCATCTCTTCTATTTCGGTTTGGACTCATAAACGGCAAATTCGCTCTTTTATCTCAAACGTCACGCATTTGTTGCCCAAAGATTTCCATTGTGGCTTCAGTGTTGATCACGCTATCACGCTGTTTTGTAAATTACTTTGCGAAACAAGACTAGAACGAAATTAAAGCCGGGAGGTGTTTGAGAAACAATTTCCCTGTTGCAAATCTAAAACGTTCATGATAGGATGTCTTCGCTATGTGTACTAAACGACTATACGAGCACGCGTCGCCTCGAAGTCGCGTTGCGTGCTGAGCCAATCATGAAGGGCGGCGGGCCAGTCCTCATCTATGTCCGGCAAATCTCTCATCGTTTAGGCTTGATACATATTTCGCTGCTTAGGTATGGACTTAACCAACGAGCAGCGAACGCAGCGCTATTTTGGCTGATCAGTGCTTACGTCGGCTGCTCCTTGAGTCGTTGAGTGCAAAAACCATCCACATTAACTGCGCTATCGCCAAGCTTTATAACGTCGAAAACGAGAGAATTAACATGTTTTGTGTTGAATCTGAAGTTATATTCTACTTTTATGAGGAGGTCTTCATGTTTTATTTTCATTATTAGATTTGTAATAATAAATAGCCTTACACAGCAAAAATAAGAGGAGCGTGAATGATCTATTTCCATTCCACCTTTATCAATGGCTGTGCCAGCAATATGACAGTGTCTAGGCAATGACATGATCGGAGTCTGCTGGAACGAAATTCTCTGATCACACCGTCGTTTCTCAAATTAATGTCAATCTGCAGTTGGCTTTTATTACTTCACTAGCTGGCTTACTCGGCTCCGCCTGGCCCTGTCAAAAACGATAAAGGTTCCATTTCTATCCCTGTACATTACCTGTGCACACTTCTACATGCAATTCCCTATTCCCGCTGTGTGAGTAATCAATATGCTCACCTACCTTCCTCACCAACCCCTCCCACCCCCCCCGTAGCTCAAACTTTGCAAAAAAAACCAATAAAATTGATAAAACTAAGGATAATTCTAAAAATTTCGGCTATCCGGGCCCTAAATTGTTTTTGTGGTGGGTCTTGCTCAAACTCGGTATGTGGAGGTTAGTCAAGCCGCTGATGACGAATTGGGTAGTCATTTCGCGTGGCAGCGAGTAAAAATCATGAATCTGCCCGAAACCGTGGCAGGGAAGTACCTAAAGTGCTGTTTCAAGAAGATCATGCTTAATCCAGGACAACGGCAATATGTGTGGTATAAAAGTTTCATACGACCGTAATGCTTTCCTTATAGGACCACTGCGTGCGATCACCGTTCGGCGGCTTTTGCCTAAGCAAAAACAGGGGAGGGAGACTTGCCGCGTGCGTTACACGTTGGGACAGGTTATCAGGATGGCGCTGGAGACCGCCAAGCAAAACGACCGTTTCCCCATCTCTTGAATATCTGGGATCTAAATTGGCTCGAAAGCGAAAAAATGTCCATTCAAACGCTGCAACTCACCATAACTTCACATTGCGTTATGACAGCGAGCAAGCATCATATTCATAAGCGATATACTTGTAAACCGTTGCAGGTAAGGTTGCAAGCAAATCTGGAACTTCGACCCATCTACACCCACCGTAACCCAAGAAAATGCACTATCCTGCGAAATCAGCATGACATTCATGTTTAGCGCGCTAAATGACCACCCTAGAAGAAAAAACCAAATCTATGTTTTCGACCCCATGCCATGTAACCACCACAACTCTATGAGAAGGTCCCAATATGCAGAGAGAGAGATGATATTCGTAATTAGCATGTCGAATAAGCCATATGGACCGAACTCCAGCCGAATCATGATCTTGACTTCCTACCGTACACCTATCGTAACCACACGGGAAGATGTTCTGCGGAGAAAGTGTGATATCTGTAATCAGCATGTAAAGGGCCGGGCATACTTCACGCGATTTCAGTCGCGACGCGATTTGGCAATTCGCCAAAGTCCTCGGATCCAACATTAGCAATTTGCATATGCAAGTATGTATAACTTACGTAAACTGATGAAATGCCCTATCTTCTGTACATTTATAATGTGCTTACAATGAGTTATGGATACCTAGAATACTGCCAAATCGCGTGGATTGAAATCGCTTGAATTATGCCCGGCCCTTAAGATAACCCTTGTACACGAAGTTTGAGCAAGCTCTACCATAAAGAAATTTTGGGGGCCTAATAGCCGAATCGCGCCAAACTAATATCGAACTCGTAATCAGCATGCTCGATTACTTCACTGTGCAAACTCCCAGCCCCGTAGGTCAAACTTCACAAAAAATCGATAAAATCGATAAAGGTAATCGATAATCCAGAAAACTAATATTGTATTCGGAATCCTCATGCTCGATTACCCCCCTGTACAAACTCCCAGCCCCGTAGCTCAAGCTTTGCAAAAAAATCGGTAAAATCGATAAAGGTAATGGACGATGTTGAAAACTAATAATGTGTTCGTAATCGGCATGCTCGATTACCCTCCTGTGCAAACTCCCAGCCCCGTAGCTCAAACTTTGCAAAAAATCGATAAAATCGATAAAAGTAATCGATAATTCTGAACTAATATTGTATTCGGAACCCCCATGCTCACTTACCCCCCTGTGCCAACTCCTAGCCCCGTAGGTGGATTCCGCAAAAAAATCGATAAAAATAGATAAAATCGATATCGATCGATGACGAAAAGTAGCCTATGACACCCGCCGGGGCCCAAAGTGTATGTATGCCAAGTTTGGTCCGGATCGGTTCAGAAACGGAATTTTCTATTCGGAACATACGTACACACAGACAGACATACAGACGGACATACAAACAGACATTCAGCTTTATCATTCCATAGTCGAATATTCAAAATTGACATTTTTCCGAATTTCCCCAAGTATAATTTCGAGGAATTAGAAGTTTGGATAGAATCAACCACGACTTCAATTGTATTGAGCAGATTCTAGATTTTTTGAATGTTGACTGTAAACCACTCACTGTTTACCGTATGGGGAGACCATCCCCTACCCACAATAGGCTTTTGAAAGTTATGCTTCCCCCATCATTCTTTGTGAGATTGGCGCTTCGACGAGCGTATCAGATGAAAAACTTTCCACACAGGAGGGGAGTCTTTATTCGGCCCTCTCTTCCAAAAGAAGAGTGGGATAAGATCCGTAATCAACGGATGGCTCGCCGTAGTGGACAATCACCTCGTGATTATGTCAGTGTGCTCGGGAAAGTATCCAATGTTTCCAATATTGATCGTATTGAACGCGTTGATAATGATGCCACTAGGGTCAAGCGAGGTCAGGCTGGGGTGCAACAGCCCGACCCTTTAAACACTTGGCTTCTCCCCGGATTGTTAGTAGCTCTTTGAGTTGCTTCTTAGCCAATGCAAGATCATTAAGCAAAAACATTTACAGCTTAAAATTTCATATCATTACTGGTAAGCTCTCTGTGGTGGGAATCACAGAGACATGGCTGAATGAAAATATATGTGGAACTTATTTGTTCGGTAATTTTGGAGATAGGTATATAACACATAGATGTGATCTGATAAATAAAAAAGAAGGGGGCTTTCTGTTCATTGACAAAGATCTCAGTCCAAATATGGTGTTCAAGGAATCAGTGCCGGAGAGCTGTGAATTAATGTCTACTGATGTCTCCGGTTAATAGGGCAATTCGGCTGATCTTGACAGGGCCCCAGACTGCTTATCTAATGCAACTTGCAGATGTTGGCTGCTATCTCTGACTTGCTACCTAGTTCTAATTCAGTGATTCTCATGGGGGACTTTAGTTTCCCTGGAATTAACTGGGATGATTTACATGCACCCAAAGCGTCGACTTCGACGGAAAGGAATTTTCTAAAAATGTGCAAACTGTACGGTCTAATCCAAGAAGTGGATGATAGTACTTTAGGAGATAATATACTGGATCTCATCCTCACAAATGACAATAGTTTACTAAGCGAGGTCAAAGTAGAAGCACCTTTGGGAACTAGCGATCATTCAGCGATCAGGTTTTCTATAAACACCTTCAATGCCCATGATGTTGTTAAACGTAGGGACTTCAAGCATGCGGACATACAGGGATTGCGCGAATATCTGCTTGAGGTAGACTGGTATGGGTCCTTCGGTAGTGTAAGCTCAGTCGACCAAAGGTGTGAGATGTTTTTATTTATACTGCATCATAGCATTGATTGTTATGTCCCGCTGACCCCTGTTCTTATGACAGATCGTTATATACCAAACCACCTTATTAGGCTTGACAAAAAAAGGCAACGAGCATGGATCAATTTATTTGAGAATGGTGGGGCCGAGCAAACGGATGTTTATACTAGGTTTTTACAAAAGTACCACTCCACTGTGGAAAACAAAATCATACATAGCGGCAATAAATCACTGTTTTTCAAAATGGTTAGTTCAAGGCTCAAGAAGAAGAGTGTACTTGGAATTTTACATACTGATAATGGTAAAATCATCACGCCTGATGTTGATAAAGCGGAATGTTTGACTAATGTTTTTGAGAATGCATTCCAAAATGAAAGCGGAAAAGATGATGTTACGATTATGATAAGTTCCAGGACCACGAGTGAAGGGGTGTGGTTTTACAGAGAGGAAATCTATAAATTTCTAATGAAGTGGCCTAAGTCCACCTCATTGACTCCTGATTTCCTTCCACACCAATTTATTACATCAGTAGCGGACATTTTTTCTGGTCCCTTGGAATACATTTTAAATTTGAGCATGATGAGAGCGGAAGTTCCAGAGAGGTGGAGAACGTCTTTTGTGTCGCCAATTCCTAAAAGGAAACCCCACACTTGTTCTAAAAACTTCAGACCCATTAGTATTACTTCAATATTTGCGCGCTTGTTTAAGAAAATTTTAAAGAAAAGCATAGTGAAGTATTTGGAGGAAAACAATGTTGTTGACACTGCGCAGCATGGATTCCAGAAAGGAAGGTTCACCACTACTGCTATGCTTCAATCTCTTAATGAATGGGCGGTGCATTTAGAAAACGGATTGAGTACGGACGTTATTTACTTGGATTTCGCTAAGGCTTTTGATAAAGTCCCACATAGTAAACTTATGCAAAAACTTGAAGCTGTGGGTATACGTCCGCAGATCCTTGCTTGGATAAGAGCCTTTCTGACTGACAGAATCTTTGTAGTACGAATAAACAAGTCACTCTCTAGACCTAGAAAAATGAATAGTGGAGTACCGCAAGGAGGTGTTCTTTCACCGATATTGTTCAATATTTACACATATGATCTTCCCATTATCCCAGTTTCTCATGGAGTGAGTTGCACTGCTTTTGCCGACGACTTTAAGCTGTATGGAGTTGTTATGAATGATAGTGGATATAGGCTGCTGCAGGATGCGTTGAATGGTTTTACAATTGGTCGCTGAAGTGGGAATTGCCAATCTCCCTAGAGAAAACTAAGGTGCTTCACATAGGCCCATACAAAAGAAACTATAATTATTCCATGGGAGAGAAAGAGCTTGAAATAGTTGAATCGTGACGGGTTTCCTAATCAGAAATGACCTTACATTTGATGAACATTGTAAGCTCATTGCTGATAAGGCTATGAGAGCTGTTTATAACTTGTTCAGGGCGCTCTCCTGCAACAAGGTTGAAGTTTTTCTAAAGGCTTATAAGACTTTCATAAGGCCTATGCTTGAATATGGTACTATCATCTACAGCCCTCATTTGCGCAAAACCGTCGACTATCTTGAGTTCAAAATAGTTTCACGAGTAAATTATTCATCAGATCTACTGGATTTGTATATGACCAGATCCCGGATGGAAAGACACGTAATCTAAGCCTCAAACTTCCGACTTTAGCCCACAGAAGGCGTATGTTTGATTTGATCATGGCGCATAAAATCATGTTTGGGGAGTGTAAACTGAGTCTTAATGATTATTTTCCTATCAGAAAGTCTAATACTCGAGGAGGACGTATGAAACTAGTGCTACCAAGCAAAGTCCAGAGTCAGAGCAAACTTTTATACTTGCCGTGTTTTACGCGACCTTGATCATATGGTAAGGAACGGCATGTTGACGGTCAAGCTATCTACCTTCAAGACAAACATTAAGAGCTACTTACAATCGAGAAGCTGCGTTTGATTTTTTACACCTCAGGCTGGTTTTTTTAATCATGTCGCTGTGTTCTGTTTTGTTGTTCTCTTTTGTTTTATGTTTTTTTGTTGTTCGAATTTGCACATGGGGGCCACCCTATGTAACAATAAATAAAACTAAATAAATAAATAATACACACACGGGAATGTAGGAGTCAACTAAGAAGTTTCAGGAAATTATATGATTAAAATATGGTAGGCTTTTTTTTCTGAAAATTTCCCACTACCACAGGATATAAAATGGCTCGTTTGCAACGCACAGATCGATATGGCACAAAATTTGGTTAATATACGCGCAATGAGACTAAGGAGTCAACTACGAAAAATTATGGAAAACTTACAGTCGGTTTCAACCCGGATTAGGCGATACATTCTACGTGGAGCAGCGCATGCGCATCGCTGGAGGCTTCGCGAGCGCATAGCGCTGGCATTTTGCCAAGCAAAGACCAAGGAGGTTGAGGAGACGCAGACATGGGTTCTCAGCACGATAGGATATACTGTAGCTGCGAGACGGCGCGAGCTGTTGCGAGGCAGACTCCCGCCAATCCAATTTCCGCCTAAGGCCCCGGTCAGACTTCACGCGACTAAATCGTCGCGACTTGATCGCTTGGACTGGGCGATCAAGTCGCGACGATTTAGTCGCCAATCGAAAATGCATGGCCATAGTATCGGCGATCGCACACCTAACAACTCATTGCACGCAGGACGCTATCCCGTGGTGAAAAAGAACCGCTTTTGAACCGTTTATCCTTTTTCTTAACTAGCTCGCTTGGTTTCGATTTGCAGCTCGGAAGTATGGGCAGATTCTTGTAGGTTTTCATATCTCTGCTTTCAGAACTTCTTGGCTGTAAAATCAGGTATGAAAAAAGTGATAATGTTGCTGTTCGATTGATCAAGCTGTGGGAGCTGCGATTATTAGAAAAGCATTTGGCTTGGGGAAGGGCACTTCTTGAGTGAGTTGCAGCTTCATTTGGTTATGTCGTGTACGTCAGATTCTTGTCAGACCATTTTTTCAGAGTTTCACACAACAAGGAGAACTCTGAATTGGGGAATGTAGAACCTTGGCGTGCATTGCTAGCTGTACGCCACGATCTCCCTGTGGCCAAAGCTGGGGTAGGTCATGAAGTAGTGATGTGGCAGATTGAGGGATCGGCCATAAAGACGGGGCAGAGTAGAGCGTTTTTACCGTCTCGCGATCTTGTCAACAAGACAAATGTTAAGAGTTTATTGCATGCTGTCCCGTTTTGGTAGTTGCTATTAGTCGTGTCGAAAATGATCTGCATGCAGTGAACTCGTAGCAGTTGTCCTTTTGGATGAAGTGCGAGGCGATAAAATCGCGTGATATATGCGCGGCCCTATAGATTGCCGGCAACTGTCAAACTATCCCGGCGATTTGTGGCCGATCCTCAATGTGATGTGAAGACTAGGAGAGGAAAAGCACTGACATTTTTGTGGCAAGTAGCATGGTCTTCTTCTCCTCATATTTGAAGTGGTCTGATTTTGATATATCCTACGCGATGATTCAGAATACCAACCGAGTATTACAGTTTGAAATAATTTTAGGGACATGGGAGTTGATACATCCCTTTTTGGTCAATGCCTTACTCGCTTCGCTATGCTTGTTGATACCGAATGCGTCAAAATCGATGAAGAAACTTTGACAAACTTTGACACCCCGGACTCGTTTGAGTCAATGGGTGAGCTGTTTATACTAGTACTATCAAGATTGATCTGCGAGTTTAGGTCATTTATTGTCTTCAAACATGCGAAAGCTTGACGCGCGAAATCCTGCTCTTGCAGAAGAGTTTGCTATCAAATTCGAGCAGTTTCAGGTGCAGTTGACAACAGCAATTTTCCAGTCTAAGAATAGTCCGACATAAGAGTTTTCTGGTTTTTGTATGTACTACGATGTCTTGCCTTTTTTCTTGAATTTTAATCAGATTCTTCTCACCAGTGGTGAATGCGGGTATGTATTGAATGATGTATCAATTACCTCTCTGTGTTTTGATCAACTCAAAATCAGTCAACAGAATTTGTGATTCATCAAATGTGCATTATCATATTAGTGAACTTTTTTTTGGTGAACAGCCCGTTTCACATATGGTTCATGGTTGTAGGAAGTGTTGTTCTTATCTGCTTCAATTATCGAATTGTATAGATTTTGTTTTTGTATCGTACCTCTGCAGCTAAATGATCGTAAATGATTGATTGTAATTGTAACAATAATGATTCATAAACTTTTCTTCAAAACGCTTCCAGCAAAGGATAATTTCAAGAGGTAGAGTGTAGGTAGTGAATGGCAAACTAGCAGATCTGACAGGATCACCACTTGACAATCACAAGAAATCCAGCTCTAACATTCTCCAATGTTTACTGCGAAGAGAGCGGCCAACATCAACTGTCCGCACGCTTTCTGGTCGTTTGAATGCCCTCTCCGACTCCTCTTTTCGCCGCTGCATTTCGTTCTGAGCTTCTCTCATCTCTTCTTCCATACTCTCAGCTGTTCTTACGCTTTCTTTCGTTTTTTAGATCGAGAAGTCTTCGACTCCTACAACCACTTATCATCTCAGCGCTGACGTTTTAGGAAACAGATATACATTACCTTTACTGAATAGAACATAGGGCCAAGTTCTGCCAACCAAACTGCGTCGACTGCATTAACACATTGCATGTATTCTTTCGCTGTCATGATGAGTTCGTGGTAGATCTAAAGTAAATATGGACAATACCTCAGCACTTTTGTAATTTATACATCTAAACAAAGCCTACCTATGAACAACAAACAATTACTGTTCAGTTAGTAGTCAATGAGTCACGCGGATAAGAAAGAAAAAAAAATTCCAAAGTAGGAAACCCGATTGTGTCAACTGCATACTCTTTTCCGCGTAGGAAATACGCATGCGCAACGCACAAAAGTCTGTTGATGATGTAAACGTTCGCAAGGAAATTCCAACATCTTCCTCTAGAAAATGTTCTCAAAACTTATACTCTCGCTATTTTGCAGCCTTCAGACAGATCTTCACCGCTCAACGCTGCAAAAAAAAATCCAAAGCAGCTAGAGTACAAGCAGAAAAGGGATTTTTGCAAGTTCAGCTTATGTTTGCGCTAGCAGTTTTTTGTTGGCTGTGGTGATTGCTAGGCTTGTGCGAAAGTAGGTGAGCTCTGAAATTAGCACGTCCTTATGCGATTGTCTATTTACAATTCTGCCAAAGAACGATCCAGTTGTACGCAAGAGGGTTCGAAGTTAAGATTGGAGACTATTCATAAGAATAAGTATGTGCCAGTAGTATATATTTCGACTTACAAAACAGCCACCAAATAATGAAATCCATTATGACGTGTATGTGCGACATTGTTACTATTTTAAGAGGAGAATTTAGCGCGTAAACTTCATCAGATTCAAGAAATATGCACAGTGCTCTCTGAGGAGCCCATGCTTCACCTATTTCAATACACTATACAAAGAAGAACAAGGTTTAGAACGTTTTCATAACTCTTAAAAGTCCTACATGCATATATCGACCAGCTCCCAGAGACAAAAGACATTATGGAGTTGATGGTGTTATATAAGGACCATTCTTGTCACTTTCAAGATTCACTATTGCTCTACGACGCCGCCGTTATCACATTATCACTTCTCCTTTCTATTAGTTTCACAAAATTCTAGTTTTCAGTGTTTTTCTTACCGTAGTGGAAGTGCTGAGTGTGGGTCATGAAGGCTTTACGAACTCTGTATTAAAACTTCATTCTACTCAAACCTCCCTCATTAGGCCTCGGGCAGAGTTCACGCGATTTCATCGTCGCGATTCAGTTGCCATAAGACAAGTGCTACGAGTTTATTGCATGCCGATCTTCTTGTATTTCTGTTGTGATAGTTAGTCACGATTGTTCGCGTTGGTAAACTATCACAACCGAAATGCAAGAAGATCGGCATGCATTGATACTGTTACAATTGTCTTGTCGCGATCAATCGCGACGATGAAATCGCGTGGACTCTGCCCGAGGCCTAATGACTTTGATGCAGTGATCCTTAATATCAGATCAGATTTGTCAAACTCATAGTTCAAGCCTTGTCGATTGCCTTCAAGAACCAATTTATCTACCTTTCCAGTTCCTGGAGGTCTTTGAATGAGGCTCAGAGGTCTCATCAGTACAGCTTTGACAGCATGCATCTGACTGTGATTCAGTTCAGGAAGCCCAGGAGCCGACAATCTCTTCGGCTGTTGAACCTATACAGAGTCAGATAAACGCAAAATATTAAATACAGGTAACGATAATAAAGGCTACCTTGAAAAGAATCTCATCAATATCGTGCCCCATCAATTTGCGGAATATGTACTGGGAAACGCAATGAGGATGTTTCTCAAGTGTATTCAGAGCCTGATACATCCGATCAAAAGATGTAGAATTCCATACAGTTTAAAATTCAGTCACTTTCGTGTTAAATGGGTGGAAGCTAGTATCAGGTAGTCTTACTCACACATGAAGTTTATACGTGGATCTGTAGGCATTTTCTCTGAGGAAGCAGCACGCATTTCGATACCAATTTCATCACTGTGACCTGAAATACGTAGAAAGATCCTATTGAGATATTCTGATGATGTTAGATAACTTGGTCTGATCGAAAAATAGATAGAAAAGTCACAGGAACTCACTGTCTGGAATTTTAAATACTTGTCCAAGGCACGACCACTCTCTTTCGATAGTTTGACTGTGCATCAGTCAAACTATCGAAACATCTTCTATCATCAATTTCATACCTGAACAGACACCAAATATGGGATAAGTGATCAGTACGGGACAAATGCAAAACAAACAATCACTTACTTCCCTCCATAAACTTGGGGAGATGAAAGAACCCCAAATGTTTCTTGTTAAGCCCTTGCTCCCACTGAACGTACCCAAAACTTTGCGTCTGCAACTCCTTTGTTTTTCTGTCAAACTCACCTTCCCGCACAAGCGGGCGAATATCCGCCGATAGTGAAAGGCTTCTTCATATCTACAAAAAAGTCAACAGTGTTTATGAAACAAAACGAACTGCGCATAGAATGATGTTGTAACAGTTGTCTCGTCGCGATTCAGTCGCGACGACCAAATCGCGTGAAGTCTGCCCGGGGCCTAAAGAGGGTCGAAACTTACTGTATGTGAATAAAGAGCATGCTTAACTTTTTTCCAAATTAAGTGAAGTTTCCCACCTAATGCCCTACCTTAGCTAGGCAAAACTTCCACCTCACATAAGTTTTTCAAAATTTCTACACAAATCTTTCTACACCTAGAGTTCAGTAAATAGTAATACTTTGGTTCCAAAAGTCCTCCTGTCCTTCTTGTTAGGACTAAGAGTAGCATTAACGCCGGTTCATTGGAGGAAAAAAGCGCATTCCATTCACCCTTGCACCTGGCGGGATCAAGGGCACATAGTGAATTCGATAGTCGCAAAAGCGAAGTGGTTTCATGGATGTCCATTTCAACTATCATGCTTTGAAATTTCCCTGCATTAGAGAATAAAAATCGACTTTTGAAATTCTTCTCATTTTCTTTGCTCTGAACCTATCGAAAGGAGGCAGAATTCCCGAAGTGTGTGTAGTGCTTGTAAAAGAGTTACGCTTAAAATGCATGTCGAAATACGAGTTTCGGTAGTCTTTGAACTGAGAAATGTTACCGCAAACTTCATCGGTTGCTGCGTTTTTTCTGACCATATGTGAGCAAAGAGAGTAATTTATGTTAAACAGTAGGCAAACGGAAAATTTTATTGCGTTTCTGCGTTGAAAGAAAATCAAAAAAATCGAGAGAGGCAAATTTTCGCCATAATTTTTGCTTTTCGACTATTACCGCGATAAGCCATATCCTTCAAATATTTCGATAGAGCAAAGAAAGTTCTACAAGATGGCGTTAAAGAGTACGCGTCAACTGTGCTACGTTAAGTCTGATGCCACATCCCAGAAATCGAAAAAAAGTTCTGAAAAATCGTATCTCTCTCTAGAGAAAGGGAGATCCTACAAACTTTCAACTCATGCATATACCCTCCGACATTTATACACAAAGCTGCTGTGTCTATCTGGCTAGATCTTGATGAAGCAAAAATTTTTATGTTTTGCTAAAGCTGCTGGGCTAGCACATACATGAGTGATACTATGCTACAACAGGCTTCTTCAGAAATGACAATTTTAGCTTATCCGTTCAAAGGTGTTTATGAAACATCTATTATCTGTCTATTTATTTATTTATTTATTTATTTATTTGAATACGCCACAGGCGCGCCATAGTGTCGGGTTATAACCAACAGATTATTGAGAACAAAAATCAGTGTTAGAAATACACAAACTCAGAGACAAGAAAGGCTTAATGCAGAAAAATGAAATAGCTTTTTTTGAGACCATTCGCCACTCTAGGTTAACTAGTGAATGATAGAATACAAGGACTAACTATCAGAAGCGCTGCCATAAAGGATATTCATATGAGTCTGCGCATGCCACCCTCGCTGACCAGCAAGCGACCTACATTCAAGGAGTATGACGGAGACTATGAAAAGGGCATGCTAGCGCGACAAACTAGGCAACCCTAGTACAACCGAACATACTGGATGAGCACAAACTCAATAGGAAAACTGGAAATATGCTCGGTAAAAAATATTTCGGGCAGTCTCCTTAGGTTAGCCTTATATACCAGGAAGAAAAGATAAAATTAGACCCAGAACGACAAATATGTCTCAGTCGAATTGAACTGACACATCATCAAACCAAAGATCAAACAATACGAAACGGCATCTATCTACACTCCTACAAAAGGAAAGGTAGTACAGGCAAATAAAAGAACTGGAACTCGATCCTGCGTTGTCAACGTATACTGGACGACACACCTTGAGTCCGCCGAGAAGCGGGATCTAAAAAGGAAACCGAGAAAAACAACTACAAACTAAAGAGAAAGCTAAACTCCCAAGCTTATCGCAGATGAAAAAGACGTGGCAAGAAAGAAGATGTAAAGCAGTCAGCCGAATTTAACCATTTTCTGAAAAAAAAGAGGAGAAGAAAAAACGGATTGAAATAAACGAAAGACACACCTTGTAAAAGAGACCCTACATCTAAAAGTATTCAGACTCGTCAATGCCTAACAAACTCAAAAAGTCGCATTCCAAAAGCTTTTTTCTAAACAATTTTGAGTTAACAGAAGAGATGACAGAGTCAGGCAATTTTTGCATCCAACGTGCAGTACGAACAAAAAAGGAGTTATAAAAAAGGTTGTTCAATTTTGTTGATCCTATTGAATCAGCACAGTAAAAATTAAACCTACCTGTACGTCCGTGGCAAGGCTTCCAAACCCAAAATTCACTAGGCAAAAGCTTAGTCTCGAGACGTAATGTTTGGAAGGCAAGTACTAGATCAGCAACAACCCTTCGGTAAAGCAGGCTATGGAGCTTGAAGCGGGCCAACCTACTTCTATAGGACGGGAGGGCAGCTGGGTAATCGTCGTTAGGCATAAGTCTATAGAAAAGGATACGAGTAAAAATCATCTGAACTCTTTCCAAAGTCAAGATATCCTTCTTTATATATGGACTCCAAACTTGGCTAGCATACTCTAAATGCGGGAGGACATAAGCCTATACATTCTGATGTAAACTTTCTCATCAACATGCTTCAAGTTACGTAGCAAGAGGAAGAGTCTGTGCAGGGCTGCACGTGCTATTTTCTCGATATGGGATCTAAATCGAAGCTCTTGGTCAACTAGCACCCCAAGATCTCTTATTAGTCCAGGCCTAAAAAGAGAGGTACCAGAATGCTCGTATTTCTCAAAGGTGCAATCATTCTCCTTTCTTTTGGAGATTGTCAGGCAGGCACTTTTTGTTAGGTTAACGTCAATACTGTTAAGAGAGGCCCAATTCAGAATATTCTGCAGGCAGTCTCTAAGGGCTTGTGTAACTTCACCTCTATCAGCATCAACATAGGATGCAAACACTTTAATGTCATCAGCATAGGCCATAACCTTAACTCTGCAGTCTGTAGTTAAGAGTCCAGGAAGGTCACTTGTGTAAATATTGAAAAGTACAGGGGACAATACACCACCTTGTGGCACTCCACTAGTTGCTGAGTAGAAGGAAGAGTCAGCAGAATTACAGCGGACGGAAAAAGTCCTATTGGACAGATAAGATGAGAGCCATTTCAAAACAGTTCCACGAATTCCTACTTGGAAAAGCTTTTCAAGCAGTTTGGGAATGTCTACTCTGTCAAAGGCTTTAGACAGATCAAAATAAAGAACATCGGTAAATCGATTTTGAGATAAAGCTTTTTTCCAGTGATGTTCACAGACCAATAATTGAAGGGTGGTCGAAGAGCCTTCGATAAACCCAAACTGTTCAACTGGAATGAGATGGTTTTGTGCACAAAATGCCAACAACTTCCTTCTAACAATCTTCTCGGCAACTTTACAAACAACAGAATTGATGGATATCGGCCGAAACTCGGTAACCTTACATGGACTCTGAACCTTAGGTATGGGTACGACTTTTCCTTGCTTCCATACATCTGGGAGCTCTCCACTGCTCAAGGAGAGATTGATTAGAATAGAGACAGGAGTAGCCAATTGGTTGGCGCATCTTTTAAATACAATCTGGGGGATGCCATCAGTTGTCAAAAACGTGGATGATTTGAGCTTTCTCAAAATGCCCACAATCTCCCAAGGAAGCACCTGTAAAATTCGAGAAAGACAGGAGTGGCATGATCTGATGTCGTATTGAGAGTCATTGTTGTCGGGGGGATTCGATGGAGCTCGGAAAACCGACGCAAAGTAGCGCCCTAGATGCTCAGCTTTCTCTTGATCTGTCTTGATGACATTTCCTTGGTCATCCCGCAATATCTGCACCTTCGCTGGTTCTTTAAGAAATGAACGAGCATATCTGAACAAAGAAGCAGTATTCATCATTGTTAGCCTCCTCTGTTTATAAGCACTAAACCTAGCTAAGTGCCTGGATAACTCTTTAGTAATGTGCTTATACATTGCAGAGGCTAGGGGATTTCGAGATGTACAGAACAACCTGTTTCTTTGTTCAATCAAGTTCTTGATGTGCAAAGGATAATCGCAAGGTATACTCATTTTCTTTTTGCACGGGACAAATCGCGAGAGCAAGTCATGCATCAAATCAATAAATCGTTGATAGGCATCATTGATCGAAGTGGCATCAAGTAATGTCCACCAATCAATAGTGTCTAAAGCGGAAGACATGGCCAAGTAATCACCGCCCATGTAGTCAAAATGGGAATCCACACAGGAAGTATCAATGGGTATTGAAAGATCGAAATGAACACTGGCATGGTCAGAACCACAGAGAGAAGGCTTAACAATTACATTGTGAACAACAGGATTAGATGATAAGACAAGATCCAACACATTGTTCATTC